GCAGCATCCCAGAACAGGCACCCTGACAGCGACTTAAGTGGGGAGGAGGCAGAGGAGACAGGCGGCTTTGCACCCCAACGCCACAGCTTGCCTTACCCACCATTAATGCCAATGAACTGAAGATTCTTTTTGGCGCCATTCGAATCTTTATTCCCATCGCTTTTCTTCATGATGGACTTCAGTGTGTTTTCATTATTTGAACATACTGTAAAAAGGGGAAAAATAAGTAAACCAAAGTGATGAACTGATTCGTGTAAATCTGAGTTGTCTGAGTTAAATGAGAAAGCACTCTTTCCTCGCGTTTGTGAATGTAGATCTCAGTGCGGTTGTGTGAAAAACTTCCATGAAACCCATTGGGTAAGTGTGTGCAAACAGAGAAAATAATTCATCATTCTATCAATAACGTTCCTTCAAACGGGGGGTGGGGGGGTGGGTGGGGGAGGCGGGAACTCCATCAGTGTGCCCAGACATTACAAACCTGGAGATAAGGAGCACTGGTACCAGGCTGTAATGTTTATAAAGTGACGTCATGTCTCAGTTCTCCCTTCCTTAGGCACTGAGGAAGGGATCCTGGTATACTTTTTCTTCAGCTTAGATAACCTAGGAGGCAGACTGTGTGTGCTAGGAAGGCTGTTTGTATAGCACATATTCTGTAGTCAAGACATCACAGCTTGCTTTCTGTTAAGGATACTTTAGGCCTCGCTGCCAAAAAAAATTATTATATAACCCTTCTTCCAGGTCGGCTTGTAAATCATTGGCTAGAAGGCTGGCAGTGCCGCCTAGAATTCCAACACAAACTGCAAGGGGACTTACCGTAGAGGCCGGTGGCTATCTGGTCATCTGTCAGGTTCACTGCGGGCAGAGTATTTCCCTGCGTGGGGAACTGTTCATGGCCCCGGCTGTGCTTGCCTTTTGCTATCCCCGTCTCCACCTCAGGTTGGGATGTCTTTATATTTAACAGTCCTCCTGACAGAAGGCCTCCACACTTACAGGTACATTCCAAGTGATTTCCTGTTGAGAAAGAAAAGAGCAGGGTTAGGTCCACACAGCATAGACTTCAACGTCATGTGGTTCAAAACAGTTGTCATTAGGCTGGAGTGCTGGCTTGGCTAACAGCACTGGCTGCTTTTCCAGACGACCTGAGTTCAAGTCTCAGCACCCACATGGCAGCTCACAACTGTCTGTAACTTCGGTTTCAGGGGAACCGTCATCCTCCCACAAATACACATGCAGCCACATAGGGTTTTTTTTTTTTTAAAGTAAATTATTTTAAATTATTATTTAAGAAAAAAAAACCCACAAACAACAAACCAATTCTCTCAAGCCATCATCCTCTTCTCTGGTGACCTCTTGTGCTTTCTTTTTGATAATCACACTACTCATTTACATCGAATTGCACCCCGAAGGCCTTCAGTGATTGTTAAGCATGGCCCTTGCTGGCACAATGCTGACCTGCCAAGAGGCCTGTCATCTGACCCACATGGCATCTCCTTCTTCTGCTGTGGTTCCCTTCTGGTACCCTGGTGCAGAGCCATGTTCCCAACCATCTCTAATACCATCAAGACTTTAGCTGAAACAAATCCGGGTACAATCTACAGAGCAGCCCCTCTACCAGGGAAACTTGGGAAACGGGGTACCCATAGCCTAGAACACACAGAACCAAAAACACAGAACCCACTTGTGAACCCAAAATATATGAATGGCTGACTTGGGAAGCCATGCTAATTGGTGCAATAGTGGAATGGATCCTATGGGCGCAACCAATCTCATTCTGATCAGGTCTTACTCCTGCCAACAATCTGTGTCTAGACTGTTCCTGGGCCCAAGGAGAGAAACAGTAAATGTTCTTACAACCTATGACAAATCCACTACTTATATCCATTGAAAATGTTCATTAACTTTCACTATTTTCCTACAAATTAGTTTTCTTTATATTAAATGAAAACTATGTTATTAGAAGGAATTTTTTCAAGGAAGAAAAAAATTTAAAAGCTCTTTAGAAGAATTTTGACCATGGCCTGGCATCAGCTTGCTTTCCAAGCTCATTCCCTTACTCCTGTGGTCTTTGTGGGGAAGGAACTTCAGTCCCGTGGTCCTAAGGTTGGGAATCTCTCATTTCCCAGACAGCTCTTCCATCCTTCTCCTCATTCCCTTCTCTGAATGGCCACACCCTTTCCACCTCCCTCCTCAACAGAAAGCAACTCTCCTTCCTTACTGCAGCTGCCTGTCACACTTTTGGGGTCACAAGGACAGGATGGGTTTTAGAAACACTTCCCTGTCAGCCTTCTTCTTGTCGTGTTTACTAAATTACTTCTCCACATGTAAAACATTTCATATCTGTTCACTGGCCAAAGCAGACAAATTCACTTAAATACTATTTGCAATTTAATGTATCACAGGATTCTCAATCTGACTGACGCTGAAATGATGTTGACAATACAGGAGTAAATTAAAAAGCAAGTTAATTGCAATTCATCCATGTATATCTGTTTGAGATAAGGTCTTACTATAGAGCCCTGGGTGGCCTGGAACTTGCTATAAAGGTCAAGTTGTCCTCAAACTCACAGAGATCCTGCCTACCTCTGCAAACCATTATGCCCATCTAAATATAATATACATAAACACAACGTTATAGAAGGTTAATCTGTAAAATTCCACTAAAATGAATGAGTCCCTTCTCCTCATTCCCTTCTCCACATGGCCACACCCTCTCCACCTCCCTCCTCACCAGGAAGCAACTCTCCTTCCTCACTGCAGCTGCCTGTCACTCTTTTGGGGTCTCTAATACAAGGACAGGAATGAATGAGATTAAAATTTTTCATATATTTACTACTTTTTTTTATACCAAGTATGAATTAGCTGTATTCAAAATCGCTTTGACTTAGTACTCTGATTTCCAAAAATGTTATTCTAAGGGTGCATATTTCATTATGTCCATTTTTAAAACAGAAAGGAGAAAATGACATGACAGTCCGCCGTAAGAGACTAGTGGTTGAACTGGGCTACTGGGCACTCATTCGAGAGAATGCCATGCAGCCTTTATGGGTTCTGTGTGATACTCTGACCACAGTCTTCGCTCAGCAGGTTGTTCGCCAGCCTGGCACTTTGCCACTTTTCACAGTTAGTTCTATCCATGCTCTTTCTGAGACGTAGACTAAACCAATTTCTTTTCATTCTGTTTTTCTAGGATGCTGTTCCAGGAAGCCCTCTTTTCTCTGTAGCATTATTCCCGGCCCCCGTACATTTCCTCCCCCGGGAGAGCAGGAAGCCCTTCTTGTTGAGTCTCTATCTGGGGTCCTCGGCAGGGCTGAGAACAGTGCTGGACATCAGATTTCTCTTGGCAAGTGTTTGTGCAATTCATCTGGAAATCAGAGTTGCCGTCTGAGGTTGACAGGTAAGGCAAGGTCACTGGGCATTAAACTAGTTCTTGTTAGTCATGTCAGGGAGAACTGCTACTTGTATTTCTGGAAAATCTGTCCTAGGCGGTGTTCAAACTGGCTGGACTTGAATGGCCTGGACATGATTCCCTGAGCTTAAGGCCCTTTCTGTAGGCACAGGCAGCCCATGGAATGATGCCTGTCCCAGCATGAAGCTCTGAAAAGGACTGCCATTCGAAAGAAGAACGGAGGAGAAGTGGAGCCAGACATGCAAAAACCAGAGTGGCCAACAAAACCCAATGAGATGATCTTAACCCCAGTCATGTTTGGAAATCACCACATTACTTTAAAAAATACAGGTAAGAGCTCCTATGTGCTGGTGGGCCCAGAAATAATCATAACCATCTCCATCTCCATCTCCATCTCCATCCCCATCCCCATCCCCATCCCCATCCCCATCCCCATCCCCATCCCCATCATTTTGAGAAACGGTCTCCTATGTAGCCCCTGCTGATCTGGAACTTGCTATGAAGACCCAGACTGGCCTCAGAAAACAGCCTGCCTCTGCCTTTAAAGTCCTGTACCACCACGGCCCAGTGTATCTTTCCACCTTTCCCCATGATTCTACTCTGCAGCCAGAACTGAGAACTATTAAACTAAGATTAAACAAAACTCCAACTGGACTGCTGATAAATAAGACTTCATACCTTCTCAGTTTCAACCTATCAATTCGGATGTGTATGGATTCCTAGAAATGCCTGGTGGTTTCAGTAATAGGCCTGGACCACCAATGGTAGAAGTCCACAGAGAACATTACATGTTAGCCAATTAATATTAAAACCTAATAGTGGTGATTATGAACCCCGCGCCCACTGAATTCTGGCTCTGTAGTCCAGATGCTCCACATACCCAGTTGTGGCTAACCAGGAAAATGACTGAAGGAGGAGCAGACAACTGTGAGATGGCTTTTGTCATTAACTCATTTAAAATACTCATTGATACCAACAAAATGTGAACCTCATTTTAGGACTTGGCCAGGTTAGTGACAACTGAAAGACAGTGAGTGACAGAAATCCTAGTGTTCTGGGAAAGAAAACATACTCATTCAATGCATCAATTCTAATTCTAAAGTGTGCTGGACTCGGGGGTTTAATATGTAGACAACATTAATATCTAAGGCAAACGATATTGAATACTAAGTAACTCAAAATGAAAACTTTTATTTTACAGTGTTCTCAACTTTAGGAACATTGGAAACAAAGTATTAAGAAATTCCATGAAAACTGGGACCAGGACAGCTTTTACAGGCCTCCTTTCTAATTCCTCTGTGATAGTTCTTTATGGCTTTTGAAATTTTACTAAAATGATATTTGAAAGTTTTGTTCACAGATATCTATACTGTTCTGGCAAGCAAATTCTTTTTTTTTTTTTTTTGGTTACTCAAAACAGGGTTTCTGGCTGTTCTAAAATTCACTTTGTAGATCAGGCTGGCCTCAAATTCGCATAGATTCACCTGCCTCTGCCTCCCGAGTGCTGGGACTAAAGGCATGTACCACCATGCCTGGTTGCAAATCCATATTTCTATTTATTTTTACAGCTGCTTTTAGAAAACTCAGCTCTGAACAGTGCGGCAGTGAGCTGCAATGCCTACCTTTTAGCATTCTGACTGGATTTTAAAGACCATTTAGCGTCCCTGTCAAGAAGGAGTAGAATCATATTTCCTGATTCACAGTGGGGGCCGTCCAAGCCTTTACGTGTTTCCCCTTTACCTACTGGCGACCTGAGGGTCACAAGCAGAGACCTGCCATTTTGGGTACATACTGGTTTGAGGAAGAGACAGTGGTGACTCTATTTTTGGCAGATATCCTGTTTGGGAGAAAGTGTGTGGCTTGGATGGAGGAGCAAGACCTATTTTCTTGGAATTCTGCTTCCGAAGGAGGCATGTAGTCAGAAACACAGTCACTTCCAACCAAGGAACCCTGGAACCCAGTGACAGGTCAAAGCAGCAGTTGGATTGTTCCTAGCACCGTTGTGATATTTCCCTGAGAACAGTTTAAAAAGGCTGCTACGAATGTATCTCAAGTGAGCATTCACTCAGAAACGACAGTGCTACGAGTGGATTAAGAATCAAACTCTCTCTCACCACAAACCCCACCCACATTTAATTACATACCCTCCCATGACTTGACCCAGAATTCCCAGGCTGACAGGCTGCATTAGCTCAAACTGGGTTAAAGTGTGCCCTGTCCATGCTCCTCCCAGAGAAGCTAAGGTCGTCCTCCACTCCCCAGACCTTGGAAGCCTTGACTACAGCTGAACTCTGACCCCTTCTGCTTGCCTAACGCTATCTCCATGGGTGATCATTCACATTTCTGCCAGGTATATCTTGGCTTCCCAAACAGAGGGAGAGTTATTGATGGTTCATCTGTATATCCTTTTGTTGCAGAGTCGCACTTTGTTGTCATTTAATGTCCAGCTATTGATCAACATGAATGCACGGGGGTAGTACAGACTAGTAACATTTTACTGAAGCATGATGACTCTCTGGCTCGGGAAAAGATAGTGATAACTTTCTGCATTGTCTGCAGCGGCATCTGCCACTCCTGTGGACACCACGAATTCAAGCCATTTGTGTTTCTTAAAAATTACCAACCGCCAGCCCTTAGCCTGACACCGATTATATGCTTCAAGCTTCAGTCAGAGAATAAGTGTCAAACGAAGCCAGCATCTCTTCCCAGAACACTTTTTGCAGTTTACTAATAACCATTTAGGGAGATCAGTTCAAGAGAGCAGATTTTTCAAGGAAGTGTCAACTAAAGGGTTACCAAAGGAGAAGGCAGAGTTCAATCTTTAAAGATCTTTCCTTAGTAGCTGAAGGTCTTTTCATTAACAAATCATTAACAAATGATCATTAACAAACGATCAAATGACCCAGGGCTACGATTTCAATCTTGCAAAGGGCAGTTATCACTTACAAAACAAAACAGAAAACAAAGACTAATTTGTACCTTATGTGCATGAGTTTTGCTTACATGGATGCATGTGTACCATATAGAGGTCAGAAGAGGATGTTGGATCCCCTGGAATTGAAGTTACAGGTGGTTATGAGCCATCATGTGAGTGCTGGGAACTGAACCTGGGTCCTCTTCAAGAACAGA